CGTCCCCAGCCCATCCGGTTGCGTCGAGCTCAAATTCTAAGAAATTTCCGTTCCCGCGATACCTACTGTATCTTGGATCGGCCACCGTTTTCTCATATTCATTCGGTGAAACACGGGAGCTCGGCGCCCGCGAGACTTGGGGTAGGCCACCCCGCGGTACATGCATGCACTGCTGGCTTAAAGTTGCCTACCTACCAGGCGCTATGAGAGCTTGCATCCTTTGCAGGGTTTGCAGGAGACGTACATCTGTTAGGGGACTGGACACAGGAGCCGATCTTTCGACGATGCTTGGAAGAATCGAGCACACGCCTTCTACGAGAAACAACAACTTGCTTGAGCGGATGAGCGGGGTGGTGGGGGATGGTGGGGGAGGAAAGAGACCATAACCCCTACAGGGGTTTCAGTGCGGCGACAGAACGATTTACAAGAAAACTAGAGAACTATATTCGACATCTTCGTATCCAGGGAATCCACGATTAATTTTTCCTTGGGCATATAGGCTTCTTTTACTACATAAAGACGGAAACATCCCGTTTGACTGGAAATAGTAGCTCTCGTAAGCGTTCAGGCCTGCGTCGTCGTCGTCTGGTTGTTGTCCCTACCGCACCCTTCCCCTCCACCACCCTCCAGCCTACCCCCACCCATGGATACTGCCGAGCATCGTCGAAAGCAACGGATTCAGATAGACAGTTTTAAAAAGTTATTTACATTAAATTTATCGATGACAATTGCACTTTAAGCTGCGAGTGCCCCAGCATTCATCTTCTCTGAACTAGTAAATCCCGGTGGCATTGAAATCTAAGCAACCAATTTTCATGTAATCGTTCCGTTATTGCGGCCTGTAAAACCCCGCTGAGACCCTTTCCTATCCCTCTCAACTCTAGATCTCCTGGGGTTTGTAACAACAACAGATGACGAACGCACTTTCTGGACGACCCTCCCCCGCCGCCGCGCCACCAGTGTCGCCCCGTCGGCCACCTCCGGCGCAGCCGCCGCCGACACTGATACCGCCGGCTACACGAGACACTGTGCACTGTGCACTGTGACTGTCCGCTCGCGTGGCGTGACGAGGCAGAAACGCCGCACTGGTCATCCCGCATCGTCTGTCCCGTCATCATCTCCGTGCGCAGACGCGTTCTTCTGTCTTCCGCAGAATGATATTTACTTTGGATACCGATGCATCGCTAAGGGACGCCGAGACACCCATTTTCTCCAGAGCGCTTGCTATCTCTCCACTCATCCCCACTCCCATATCTGCGCGTATATTCGCGCACATGCTGACCCTGGCAGCTGAACTAATCAAATCTCGCCGTGTGGCATTTCCTGCTGGTACGCTCGGGTTTTGCTGGTCGAGCAGAGTGACATACCTAGTGATACCCTTCCCTCACACTCCCCATGACACTGCAATAAAATACTGTTTATGCGCGAACTTATTCTCGCCGTCGCCACATATCTTTTGGTGATGCGCGGGCCCGCTATCACGCATTATCGCCGCCAGTAAAATATGTTACCCTTTGATGTCTCCGCCTCGCGGGCCAGAAGCCGTGCAGTTTTGAAAGGGCTTTTTCGGTTCGTTCCTCTTTTTTACGACTCGCGATACCCTTCCGGGTCCAAACGCCTCTCTTCGTTCATGACCAAGTTAACCTTGTTGGACCTTGTACGCTCCGACCCACCACTAAAGCCGCTCGTATAACCCGACCTGGCCGGTCCCTTGTCAGCCCCTCCCTCTTCTCATCCTGCCGACTCCCACTCTCTTCTGTCGCTCTGGTTCTCAACACATGTAAAACACATTCACGATGTCCCATAAAATAAGCCACAATGTTCTCCGAACAGACTATGCGGCGCGCTTAGTGTTGACGTTAGTGAATTTTCGCTCTGCCACTAGGCTCGGAGGACGGATGGGGTGATGTCGTAGGGGTTGCCTGTGTACATGCAGATGGCTGCCTATTTCTGGGCGTCTCTCTGATGCTGGCGATTGAGAAGAAGGGGCCTTCTCTTTTAAACCGCCTTGAGGTGGCAGACTCGGGACGGGTTCCTGGCTCTGAACCACGTACGGAACGAACGGGTGCAAGCGCCGAGCGCGAGATGCACTATGCGGGCGCGTCGCGTCGTGCAGCAGGGGGAGCAGGGCGGGCTGCAGTAGGGCGCGCAAGGGCGCGGCACCGGCAGAGCGCCCATGCAGTTGCGCAAGTCGCTTTGTGTCTTGTCGCGGCAACGCCAGGCGCTGGCGGCGGCTCGGCCTGCTCAGCCTCAGTCAGGATGCACATTTCCATTTCCATTTGGGGATGGGGGGTGGCCCCGGGTGGCCCCTGCGCGGCGCGGCGCGGTGCGGGGGGTCGGCGACGATATGCCCACGACGTGGCGGCAGGTCCTAGAGGTCACGAGGCTGAGCAGGCTGAGCCGCTGACAGCGGCGGCAGCAGCCCCTTTGTTTCAGACTG